ACAAACTTCAAAAAATATTTCAAAGAATATTTTAGGTGTGCGCATGGTAGTTGACCTGCGGAGGACGGAAATATGAAACAGAGAGGTTTTCACATCCTTAATCATCCCATAACTGGAAGCTGGGTGCCCCTAGTGATCACATATAACTTTTTTTTTTGTGACCAAGCTCGGGATCGAGTTTTCCCATAGCCCAGAAAATGAAAAACATCGGACTAAACTGCAACAGAGTTAGCGATTAGCAAAGTGATTAGCACTTTCTTTGTATGGCATCTAGGCCTTTGCTTTTGATTTAAGGCGACAGCCTCCATGTCTGGAAGAAAGCGTGAATGGCAGCGTCCACCGAGCCCCGTCCCCCGCCTACGAAAGCGGCCTTTTTCCTCGCGGCAGAAGTGGAGCAGCTCCAGAGGTCCAGCTCCGGGGGCCTGTCACTTCTCCGGAAGGTTCTAAACGCAACTATAAATATAAGCAAGTGTAACATCTCCTTGAGGGAAGCAGCCATGATTATGCGGAGAAAGCGCTCTTCTCGGTGTCAGCACTTTCCCGCGTCAGAGTGAAGATACGGCATTAGGGCTGTCTCCCCTTGGTAAATAACATGTCCTCATTCAGTCGGGCTGGCAAGAAGGAGCATGATGCTTCTCATTTGACTACAATGGGCTATTATTGGCCATCATAGGGATGAAACAGACTCTCTGGAGAGACTGAGAGGCGTCGGGGAGCTGGGAATGTCTGCCGTTTTTCACGCCGTTTTAGGCTTTGTCACAGCAGGTGTGTAGCTATGTTGTGCTGCGAGCTACGTTTAACAGACAATAAATTGAGTTTACTATCACCATTACGGCTGCTGCCCGGTTACGCGTCCGTAACGCCCTAACGACACCCCAAACGCACACTCGGTGTGCATGGCGCCAATGTGACCTCGGGGACCACGCCATTGGCTGTCCTTTAGGAGCGTTTCCGTCTCTCTGCTTCCTGGAAATGCTTTGTAATCGCGGCTCCCTGAGCCCACCAGCTAGCCGACGCTGGGCCGGTTTTGTCCTCTCGCCTCTCTCTTTTTTGTCCACTACTGGACTCCCCCTCCCCCCCTCCCCACAACCCACTCCTGTGCGCCCCAGGGCCCCTCGCTGCCTCACCTGTGTGGGGCCTGCCTGTCAGGCCCTCTCCTGTGGGCGCCTCCGCTGTGATTTCCTCCGGGCCGTCAGGTGGGCTGCTGCTAACTAGCCAAGCCTGAGACAGGGTGACCTCAAGCCTCAACATGATGGCTCCGAATCAACAATGTGTTCCTGGGAAGAGCCAGAAAAAAAGGCCGAACTATAACTCAGCGAGCCAAACCGACATTGCTGCACTCTACGATGAATATATTTCCTTAATATTCAAATTGTAACTTATATATCTGCAATCTAAACACCATGTTACTTGATTCATTTACCTATTTATTATTAGTTATCAGTGTTTATTAGCAAGCATTAATTTCAAGTACAAATCTCCAATATTTATTTTTGATTTTCGTTGGGTTCTAGTTCCGGCCGGAATATTTAACATTTGCTTGACTGTCAGTGGCACCCAGCGTGTTTGGCTCCTTGTGTCAAGGTCGTGGCCTCTTCAGGTAATGATTTTTCTGTAGACCGCTGACCTTCAGTGATTACAAGCTGCTCCGATTGTCATTAAACCAATCATCTCGCGATATTATCAGTCTAGGAGCAAACATTAGCTGTTTCTGGCCCAGAGATGTGTGATGTGTATCTCCTGGAAGGCGTGTTTCCTGAGATCAGTGTGATCTATACGGGCTCCACTTAATTCAGAGACGCGTCACAGTCGAGCTTATTAACGATAAACTGCGACACATTGTACTGTAGTGTTATTCCATGCAAATAACTGGGCGCCATTACACAGCAACTTAAAGCGCGGGTCAGGTACGATTACCCTATGATACAATAACATTTCTAACAGTCTGAGGTAATAATTATATGCACTGTATGTCGTAATGTGGTTTAAATGAATAAACAGCCCCGATGGTGACAGTCACAGTCCAGTGTCAGCTGTCGCCCCCCAACTCCTCTCTCCTTTTTTCATAGGTCAGTGTCAGCTGTTTCTCCATACATGTAAATGAGGGAAATAATCAGCGTTTATTATCATCGAACAATTGAATAAAAAAAAAAAATGAAATCGCAGACATGACAGTCTCTCGATGTCTTTTGGGTCCTCCCCTGTTCAAAATGTTTCAAAGTCGCCCCCCCCCCCCAATTCCCGGGGGCTGCCCCCCATCATATCTGAAATGCACTTACAGCAGTGGCTGTCTTCTGCTGGAGAGAAGCTCCCTTTGCCTTTTGCTTTCATCAGAGCCTAAGTCTCACAGATGCACCACTTAACAATGCCGTCCTCAGCTCCCATCAGAAGGATGGAGTGGGGGAGGTTGCAGAGCTGCGCCCTCCAGGAAGAAAAGGGGGGGGGCAGGTCCCCAGCGATAGGCGAAAGCTTAACATCGATGCCAGCCTCCATCTGTCACGATAGCCCATCTCCGAAACCTTCAATCTGTCAAAAGCTCGCTGTCTAGCTGAGGGCTCTGGGAGATTCCGCGTGCTAAACAGATCTGACAACGGCATTATCACTGCGAGGAGCCCAGCGAAACGGCATCAATGTGTTAATTGTGGCCGGATATGTAAACTGTCACTTCTCATCTCATTTAACACTGGCGCTGGCCGGATTTCGGCGCCTCGTTTTCTACACTTTACAAACATATGGGAATGTTTAGGCGCGTGGTGCGCTCCTCCTGGCTTTTCGTGCCGGACCCGGCCCACCGTACAGCCAGCTCCCAGTCAGGGCCCTGCTTCCATCTCCCAGTGAGCTTAACACCCTGCAACACACCATCCCAAACACACAAACACACACACACATGCACGTGCACAAAGAGAGCGTTCGGTGCGTAGTGAGTCACTAAGGTGCCACAGATGTGCTCCCGGACAAATCGTCTGTCACAGCCAGGAGGAGCCCTGTAAGCAACAGCTAGTCACATTTACTGGCGATTTTTTCTTTGTCTTTTCCCTTTATTTAATTGAACGCTTCCCTGGGCCTCCTTCTTCCACAGCTGCAATACGAAGTAAACTGGCCGAGAAAATGATCGATCGGAGTGTTAACTAGAACGCTTAAGTGCAATTCAGGTGCTTTGGCCTGATTTTTTGAATAATTATGTCAGCAGTCATCGGTTCCCAAAAAGACATTCATTAATATCAGTTAATAATAAGGCAGAGTATTCTCTGCAAGCCACTCTGGTTGGTCATTCTGGTTCATGGACCAACAAATAATAATATATTATTAAAAACTACTACAAAAGCCATCACAGAGTGACCGAGACAGATACTATATTTATCCCAAACAAAATTGCTAATTGAAAAAGAATTAATCTGTGTATAGTTCTCTTCCTGCTATACTGTCGTAACTTCAGTTCACTTCCTGATATTTAATAGTTCCTTAATTCCTAACTTTTTGATCACATGTCCTATATTACTGAAGGTTTGTATGATTAGTATTACTCTCAGTACCCAGATTACTCTCTGCATGGAGGAGAAGGGCAGTGTATGGAGCTGTCCTCTTTTAATTACCCGGACATGATTACATCATCAATCACACAGCTCCTCCGACACGCCTCCCCAATCCGGGGCGTTTTCGCCGCGTTCCGTCGGGTCTCGGCCTCCGCTCGCCGCGGAGGGATTTATGAGGCAGCGCCGCTCCCGTCACTGACCCGGAGCCGCGTACTCCCTCGCTCTCCTCCACAACCCTCGGGTGGGGGGGGGCATTGCCCCCGCGACATCTTGGGTAGGCCCGGCCGACGTGCCGTCGGACAGTGGCGACGCCGGCGGAAGCGCAGAAGGCAGCAGGGAGCGGCTTAGGTGTGACGGGCGGCTTATTTACAGGGGGTCATTATTCATATGCATTCGTAGCCCGCGCTCTTACAGCAGAGACGAGCCGGCACACTCCTCATGGCTGCTTTGAGGCGCTAACATGGCGCGGTGTCAGATGCAGGCTTGGCTCTGTCTCGGAAAATCTGCAGATTAATGAAAAGATATAACAGGCTTTCATACCTCCCATTCCCCTTAAAAATACGCTCTAAAAGGCAGTGAATCGAAATTTCAGTAAACCATACATAAATGCTGGAAATGATTCATTTAAAAAAAGAGAAAAATGAGCCTATCTAAGTGTCATTTTCTGTCTTAAGGTTATTATTATTTAGTATTTGTTTAGGATTGGAAACGGCAAGACGATTTAATCGATTGCTGTCCTGGCATCGCCGTGACGATTACCTGTCGCCAGTGGCCATCATGGAACATTAAAGACCTCCCAGTAATGTAAATGGGGACGAGGTCTCGCTGAGGTTCCCATCAATTAGGGCAAAGAGGAGCTCTTTGAGTGGCACTGTTTAATTATTCAGGGTGCGGTGAAGCTGTCAGGGTCCTGATGTAGCCAGGTGAGCCGACGCCGGTCGTCGCGTCCCCCTGCCCCGGAGACGTCCATCAAGGCCGCGGCTGATGGCTGCACCCAGGACCGCTCTTTAAACCATTATCCCCCTGATTCACTGCTGTCTCCACTCCACCGGCCACTAGAAAGACCATTAATCTCCACACCTCCGCGTTGACGGATAGGCGATCCGTCCAGATCGGCCGGGGTCCCGCTCGCCGTGCCGTGGCGGTGGAGAGAAGCAGAGCGCGGCAGTGGCAGGCAGAGAGGGGAGCACGCTGAGGATCTGGCGGTAATTAAGGGCAGGGTGACTCTGGAACAGGCGTGGGGCAAGACGTGGCAAATGACTGCATTCCCGGCAAGGAAAGGCGTTCCCGCCCGGCTGTGCAGGACTCTGGGGATCTCATCATCCTCCCTAACAGTCAGAATGGGATTTTGTACCCTCCGTTCCCCCACTTTCCTCTCCTTTTTTCCTGGCTGCTCTCCTGTCTGCGTTCTCTTGCTCTCTCCCTCCATCCTGTGTGACTCTCTCTCTCTTTCTTCCACTCTCTCAGATATTTTTCTGTCTACAGAAGCAGTTGCCTAAAAGACGGCAGACGTCGTGCCAGAAGAACGGTGTGTGACTCACCTCACCTCCGAACTGTTGTGGTTTATCATGAAAACGTCCAGGTGATGGAGCAGCTTTCCGAAACCAGCCTGAAATCACTGAAATAAAATAAACAGGAAGCACATTACAGTATGCGATATATATTTATAAATACACATACATACAGTTTATATACACACATACCTTAATTTACATAGCATTTAAGTTATAGTTTTCAGTTGATTTTTGACTTTAAATAGCATGGAGAAAATGTATTAATATAAACTGTGATTTATGGATGGATAGACAAACATTTACGTTTTGGTTTTATTTAAGTGTACTACAAAAATACCAAATATCCAAAATTATATGGATCGATGATGAAAATATATGTGAAATTCATCTGCTGAAAATGACATCAATCAGCTTCCTCAGAGGTCTGTAGCTCTAAAATTCCAGCATGGTGTGTAGGAAAGTGGACGACGTCTTCTTCCTCTTTTGTCTGAGCACCTAGCTCCCATCCCGGAAAGCCCGTCTCAAACAGCGGCAATGATATCCCTCACCGACATGGCTGTGCAGACGGAGAGATGGGGAGAGGGACACTACTGTGGTTTAAAAGCACCCAAAGCATCCTGGGTAATTAGCCATTACAGCGCTGTCACCGAAGGGCCTGCAGTCAATACAGACATAATTTGGGCAATGGTGAATGACAGTGTGTCCTGGCTTTGGGGATGATCAAGGACAGATCCAGGTGTAGCAGGCATCTGTCAGGCCCATGAATCACTGCTGCGGCCGATGCTGTCGGGTGACTGAAGCAGGGAGAGGCGTGTGCAAGCGAACAAATAAACATGTAGCTCACTCTCTGGCGCACGCCGGGAAATGGCCATTAAAGGGCCCGTTTGGGCTGGGGAGGCCTGATACCTTCTGTGGGGAATGACTGACAGCGAGAAGGAGGGAGGGGTGTAAATGTGGCCTGAGCTGCTGTGCAGTAATTCTTATAGCAATCCGAAAGCTCATTTTATGTATTTCCAATTCGAGATTAACAACAGAATAGCAATAGAGTACAGTGTAAGAACAGAGTAACAACAGTGTAACAATAGTGTGACGAGAGTAACAGTAGCATATCACTGTAGCATAAAAATAGAGTAACAATAGCATAACAATGGAGTATAGCATATCAATAGAGTAACGACAGAGTACAGCATGACGATAGAGTATCAACAGCGTGACAATAAGGTACAGCATAACAATATAGTAACAATAGCATAACAATAGAGTATAGCCTAACAATAACACAATAATAGAGTATAGTGTGATGATAGAGTAACAATAGCCTTATAATAGTGTAGCATAATGATAGAATTACACTAGCGTCATAATAGAGTATAACATAAGGATAGAGTAACAATAGTGTTACAATAGAATATAGTGTAAGGATAGAGCATAGCATGGTGATAGAGTATTGTCAATAGTATGACAATAGAGTATAGCATAACAATAGAATAACAATGACATGACAACAGAGTATAGTGAAATAGAGTAACATGACAATGATAGAGTAACGGGGTTCAGGTTCATTTTATTGTGATTCTTAACATGTTGACACCTGTATAGTGTATAGTGTAACAATAGAATAGAGTGTAACTATAGCATAACAATATAGTATAGTATAACAACAGAGTAACAATAGTATATCAACTATTACAAGTGGTTCTTGATGCTTTGATTTTAAGATGTCTGATCTGTGATGATGTCTTGAGGATGACGATGAGCACAGGCTCAAACCCAGACCCGTATGGACACGTGAACACCTGTCTGCCTCCGCTTCTCCAGCCGGTCCTCACCAGCCATGCGCCGGACATCTGTGAGAGCTTGTCTCTGGGGGCCGGCCGCCTCGCACCACCTCCATTCACCGAGACGTCACATTTCGCCTCGCGGACAAACGAAAGCGCCCACTCCTTCAGAAGGCTAGGAAGCCTGAGGAAGTAAACAAGCAGAATAAAAACATTTCCCAGCTGCTGAGCCTTAAATGCCAGACAGAATCATGTTCCCTAAATATGAAGTCATGGAAAACTCACAGAAGCATTCAGTTCTATACAATACAAATGGCTATAATTTGTTTGAGGGATAAAATGCTGTGTATATCACCTCAAAGCCTATTTTACGTTTTGCGAGGTGTTTTTGGATTTTATCTTTGAGTCTCTCACAGGTTGTGACATGTTTGTGTCCACAGCATCCTGGTAGAATTAGCATGCTAACGGTACTGAAGCTCACTAAAGCCACACTGTGGAATACCAGCCCAAACCGAAGCAGGCTAGCTGGATGCCGTTTTATTAGACTTCATTCTGCAGTTTTGTCATTAGTAGGTCCAGAGACACCGGTTGGCTGGCGCTGGGCTTTGTTTTGTGTTCTGTAGCGGGCTTGAGAATCATTATGCACTACAGCCTTAGTCTGTGTCGTTCTGCTAGAGTGAGTTTTTATTGCTCATGGTAATGCGAGACCTACAGTGCGGTGTGTTTAATCATGTCCATGGTACATTCCCAGCTCTGGGGACTCCAACAGTATGGCCTCTTATCATGTTTTAATCAATACCTCTCTCAAAATGTTAACACAAAACTGCAACCACTCCGTAAAAGAATTATGGTCCTGGCTCCCTGAATTTTGTAAGGCAATAACCAGATGCACAACAAAACAGAGTGAAAGTGATTTCTAATAGAAGTGTAAATTATATTTGAAAGTCTTATGAATTTTTGACATTTGTGACCTTTGTCTCTGTTTTAATAAATGAATACTCATCCCTAAGGTCAGTAAACATTGTATTTTTTCTGCTGTTCTAAGCTGTACGGGATTGACTTACTTATAATTGACTTACTTATAATTATTTTAATGGCAGTAATTTTTTCGCGTGTCTGGGTAAACAGCGTTATAGAGCCGGGGGTAATCCAGTCCCCCTAATAGACCCCCCCCCCCAATTGCGACTGACTGCTGCTCTGCGCGCGTCTTATTCAATCATATTATATGGCGGTGACCCGGCGCGACGCACTGTACGGGGAAACGCCGTGTTAGCATAAGTCACCTTCCCACCGTATAATTACGGCCATTCATCTGATAAAGACACGGGAGCTGCCGATCCGTCTTCCGCGCAACTGCGATGTAGATGCGCGACACTGACAGTCAATTAAAAATGAAAGATAACGCAATACTCTTTACTTTTAATGGAGTGTTTATATGGTACTTTAAATATGTAAATTCCTGGCACCGGCCCAGAGCCTTTTCTCCCCCTCATTTTACGATACAATAATAGCGCTTTTTAAAACTCTAAATATTTACCTGGAGTTTAGTGGCGCTGTAGCCTCGGTGCCGCCGTCCAAATGTAGTGGCCCTTGGGGATCAATTCTCACATATGGACGTGTAAAATGGGAAAGGGCAGAGGAGAGAGTTAAATCGTTGGATCAGATGTTCACCGCGGAACAACGTGTCACTCCAAAACACGATTTAAATTATACCGGGATCGGCATTACTCTGCAGAGATAAACATTTAAATGGCCTTTAATGAGAATGTGCATCCTCCTTCCGACGCCCTGGCGGTAACGGCTCAAATTAAATGCATCTTAATTCAGCTCGCCTGGGAATTGAAGGAAAACATAAAGTAGGAATATAAAAAACGTATTTTGATGGAGCAGTTTTGTAAGTCATGCAAGTACACAAAGCCGTATTATTTTTAGAAGTTACAGATTTTCCTCATGATAATGAAATGAGCTGACCCCGGTGGTATAAGTATTGATCTCCAATTACACGTATATATTTTTTTATACTTTTTGTGAAAACCTTCTTGTCAATGAAAGATGAGGCAATTGATTTTAAGAGGCTTGTTTACACAGTATAGTACCTTCTGAAGTATGATACACTATTTATGACGATTCATATTCCACCCTTTTAATTTCATTCATTTTAAAACCTTAATTTATATTACTGTAAACACATTCCTAATGATTGCATAAAACATGCTCTTGTTGGTTTGTTTAGATATCACTGTACGATTTTTAAATTAAATGTCACATTTAAATGCAGACCAGAGGTTAAATCACGATTCTTGTGATGACCAGCCATTTGACCACTGGCACATTTCACTCTGACCTCCTACTGTGAAAGAGGGACACAATGACACCCGAGTAGGGGGCAAAAAATGAGCAATTTAAAACCCAAATGGAGTTTTGTGTCCCCATTCTCCTGAGCTAGCAGCTGTCTGTGGTACTTTCAGCCCTAATTATCCATCAGAGTCTGTTTCGTGTCTTGTAAACGCTCTCCTTATCCTCATTTTCAGGCTTCGGAAACTTGCACCTGTAATATAGGTTACTGCCTTAGCTTCGGCGGGGGGGGGGGGTGGATATTAAACTCATGATCACATGACGCAGAGAACCGAGATATTTTGACGTAGGGCCCCAAAGGGCATTTCTTTTGAAAAATTAGTGAGGAGTATTTATGTTTATCTTATGGGTCGGTTTTAAAAGGTTTTGCCATTGTCCCCATTTTCTCAAAAATTAGTAGTGATTTCTAAAGGGCATCGCTGAGCCATGCCACGATGTCAGTACTGAGCTACTCTCCAATCCACTGACATCACCCAAACACAGACTGATAATTCATTTAAGTGCAATACTATTAGGGAGGAATAAAATCCACTGGTTCCTGAGTGCAAAATTTTATACTAATGATGCTGACACTGGAGCCATCGCTACGGTTTTGATTCATGAAGGAACAGGAGGAAACGAAGTCTAATAAGGTCTGATTGGGAAATACCTTCATGGTGTCGCGCGATGCTCACGTCTGCATATTAAGGCAGCGCAAACTTGTACCTGCACAGCCATAATTCAGCCGCGGAGTGGCAGGAATGAGAGCGTGATCATGTTGGGTCACTGTCCCGGTGAGCGGGCTCTGCCGGCACCCGCCTTAATTAAAGCGGCGGGGCCCTTCCCCGTTGCCGCGTCCTCCGCAGCTGCGGCATTGATACTCATTATTCCTTAAGTCCAAACACCACCGCTGTGTCAAGAAAGCATCCATCACCGCTGGGCCGCTGATAGTCAGCAGAAAAAATTTTCCACCTCGTCAGCAACTTTGCCAATTTGCAATTTTCCGCAGGGGGTCCGACGTGCGTTTATTTATCTTTTATTTTTTTTATTGGCGCAGATCACTCTCAAATACCAAGATCATGAGCATGATGCCACCTTGTTAACTCCTCTCTCCCAGCCCTGGCGGTAATGACAGTAATTAACAGCCCCTCCCCTGTCAGAGGGACGCTTCAGGAGGGGTCTGTATGTTCGTTAGCATCCAGCTAACGTGGGGCGATGCCACGAAAGGCTGCCCGGCCTTTCCGCCCACCGCCGCGCCCGGGCCTGTCTGTCCCGATTCATTATTGGCCCGGAGCTGGCGCTCTCCTCTCTCTGGCACCGGAATGAATGTTATTAAAGGCCGGGCTGCTTGACGCGGCGCTGATGAAAAATAGGATATTTCCGAAGGTTGCGTCGCCAGCCGGCTCAGCGATGCCTTGTTTATCTTTCCCATCCTTGCACAGAGCAGCGTAATTTAACCACACTACTATATATTTTCCCTTAAAATCCGGTGGGTCTCTGTGCAGGGGCATCATCATAAATAAGACTTTATTATATTTAGTTTCTTTTTCTGTGGTAAAATGTTCAGTAAGAGACCAGGGTGGGTGCAAATCTTGATACATATTAAGTGCAAAGGAAAACACAGTTTGGCTCTTCGAATGCAGCCTTTAAAGATACAGAGGAGGTATCTCATTTGCAGCTGGTGCCTTTTATTTTTTAAATTCCGGTCAATCCGAGAGTCATTACCGAAGAGTCTTTATTTCCGTAAAGCCCGGCCTCCTATCTTTACGTGTGTGTGGTGGCCTCTGCACTCATGATGCTGTGTAACTAGAGAGGCTTTGGAATGAGGCTACGGGGCTCCCATGGTCTGTCGAGTGCCGGGTCAGTGCTAGCAGTTCCCCTCCCGGCCCGGCCCCCAGACCCATAGGACTGGCGTCTTCCGCCCCCTCCTGTCCCGGAGCTGCCCAGCGGAGTGCTGTCACTGAGACAGGGTCGGCTGGGGATGGGGCTGCTTTGTGCTGCTCGTGCTACCCGCTCTCCTTAAAGTACCATCCCTGACAGCTTCAAAGAATTTTGAGCTCAGGAAGAAATGTAAGAATTAAGCCAATCAGCTCTCAGCACCATGATCAGGGCTGGACTGGGATTAAAAATCGGCCATGGACTTTAGGGACAAATCCTACCGAGCAATAAATTTTGCAGGGGTGTCCTCCACAATAAATTTAGCCAACCTGACCTAGTCCAGCCCGGGCCATGATTGACGCTGCAATGTTTAGGCTGTCGGAAATATTCACACTGTCAGGGGCAGTGCTGAGCATTTCAGATCCATTAGCAACAAATCCAGACCAAGATTTTGTTGAGTACTCTGTGACCGTGACCAAAAATATGGAACTGGATTGGTCTGTCTTGGGGACCCAATAACTTATTCTTTCTTGGGGCCCAAAATGTCTAGCATCAGCACGGCACATAGTGATGAAATGAACAATTTTAGTCAACAAGCAGAGCAAACAGAAAATAAACGGTGTAATTATCTCGTACATGTGTGTTACATAAGCAAAAGTACATCAAAATACCAGTGGACTCTCATCAGTGCCGTAGATAACATCTCCATTATGGCAAAAGCAGAGCGGAAGAAGTTGTCCTGTAAAACGGAGCATTAACATCAAACAGAGCCGCCTTATTTGGCTGGGTGGTAAAAGGCCTCAATAAA